CTTTTTCATCCTTGCCCTTGTCTTCATCAGATTTTGTTACTGAACAGTCAAAATTGATTAAAAGTTAAGCTCTTATTGGTTCTCATATGTCATTTGACTGACTTAGTTCCACAAATCCCATAATATTCTTGGCAAAGGATATGGAGGATTCTGTTGACTAGAGCAGACTGAAAAAACCATCAATGAAATATTTTATTTTGATTCTGAATCCTATCTGAATATGGTGAGTAGAGAAGTGTTAAATGTGAAAATATTTCAAGTAGCTGGTATAAGTCCATGATGAATCCTGAGCAATTAATATAGTACTTTTTAAACAAGCTTAATGTTTGCTAAATGTATCTGAACTACATGAAAATGGACTGCATTATTTGAAGTCGGTGAGTCAATTTTCTAATGGGTCACAAGCTAAGTTTTCATGAATACTTTTTAATAATTGCTCCCTTATTGTTATTATTCTGATATAAGTCAAACCAATTCTGTTATTTTTTTATTCTTTTTTCTGTAAGAATCACGTAGGAAGGTTTGGTCTCAGTCAGATCACATTTTATGGATATTTTAACTATGAACTAACAGATGGATTCAGCATTTTTATCAATAAGAAGTATATTATACTATTTTTATGTTGTACAGTAGGAGACATTTTAGTAATGAATTGTTATGTTTGTGTATAGAACACCAGTTGAGAAGACTAGATAGCCCTGACAGTTATACTGAGAAATAAATACCAATTTATAAGTATAAAATATTCCCTGAAGTTAGGGATGATGAAGAACTGTACTGATGTATTATGTAAATATTAGTTAAGTGTAACACGAACTTTAAGGCATGCTTCCTGTAGATTTAGAGTCAGTACCTCTAAATAAATCTTGCACAAAAATTGAAACTGTCAGTTTATTGCAGTCAAGTATTATAATAACTGTATAGTTTGTCTAATTGATTACCCCAGGCTGCAATAATTCAATTAAATAAATAAATAAATAATTAGAACTGTAAATGAGTTGTTTGTGTCATAGCTTGGCAATTAATTGATATGTTACATAGATGATGTTCACATGGTCTAATTTTGATATGTGAATTGTACGTGACACTGAAAAATGAAGCGAAAACATTTTAGATGTTAAATTTGACCCAAATTTAGGACTAAACTTGAAAACTATTCTTTTAACAATGTTCACTTTTTTATCATTTTCCCCCAAATAACATGGTAAACAAAGGTGAAAGTTTATATATAAATAGAATTTATTGCAACTCAAAAATAATTAATGCTTTATGACTAACAAAATCTTTACTCTCATGAAACAATCTCCTGATTTCCATATAAAATTATGAGAAGAGATACAAGAAAAAGTTGTCTTGAATATAAATAGAATTTTAGTTTTACTGTTAAGAAAGTAAAATTTGCATATATACTTAGATAGATGCCTCTTGATATATACTTTGAGTAAAGCAGTAAAAATTCAATACAAAACAAAATCACTTCTAATTCAATAAGAAAATAATCTTCCTATATATATATGAAATATTCTTAAAAATTGTGGACGGACTTATTTGCTATGGCACATTATATCGCAAAATATTGTTTAAATAAGGACGGACTACGTAAAATGACTAAAAGCTTATCTTACATGCCCATACATTTGAACATTTTTCTTTTAATCTTTAGAACTGTTATCAGTCCTAATTAATGATTCTCAAAAATGACACATTGGCAGGTAGTAGTTATCACCAGTTTCAGCCAAAATACTTTTTTTTGCCAAAAAGTTATAACACAACTATAAAATATTCAAAAATGAAAATAAAACTTAACAGCCAGAAGCTTGAAATTAAAAATAATGTGCTAGGATCCAGCCTGAGGGAGAGAACAGCCCCACCCCC